CCTGAAAAACGTATGAATAAACAGAATGCAAAATGATCTCTGGCATGTAATATATATGAATATGAACTGTCAAAAGCGGTGAAAAGGAAAATGGCCGCCATTACAGCTGTTCATACCGGTTCATACCCAATGTATGTTATGTACATACGCATAAAAACAAAGTTTTTAAATTTAATACATTTTGATACAGAATGTATTTCTTTTTATTTCAAAATATTTATCAGAAATAAATGTCTTAATAACAGCGAGAAATGTAGTGTCGATATACTCCATTATTGTTTACACGAAGTTTCCAAACGTTGCCAAAGAAGGTAATGTAATTCAGGAGTAATGAGATTTGTTCATTGTGTATTCAAAGTGAATGCGTCATAGATTGATTTATCATTTATGTTTTACTGTCGGAATTTTTCCAAAAAAACGAATGAATTTATTCTTTCAAATTTTACAATTTATTAGTCGGTAATAGCAAGCACCCATGCGTATTATATTAAACTAATCATTTCAGTTGGTGTTTATTCAATTGTATAGGTACTTAAAATGTATTTTACAAATCTGACAGAATCTGACAGTTGCGGCGAGACTACGGGGGTAGGGGGCGCCATGAGTATCAAATCTCTACAGTTCATGGCTTATCCTCTTGCTCGCTCATACCGTTGCTGTTGCCGTTGCTATTGACGTTGTGATTTTGGTTTGTGTGTGTGTGTGTGTGCGAAAATGTTGGTGAATCTTGTGCCAACGACACACAAGATTGATTGCATTTATTTTGTAGTTCGTGTTTAGTGGCTGAATTCAGTGTGAGAACCAGTGGCATAATTCAAAAGGCGGCAGAATGTAAGGAGACAAAGTGGCTAGAGGAAAAATTGAAAAATTAGGATCCACTCACGGTGTGGAGAACGTTACCGGAATAAGCGTGGGGTGAGAGAGAGAGAGAAACTAAAAACTAAAAATCTCTCTCTTTTTTCCTTTCCACCGAAAATATTTATTCTAAATATTAACATTCCCTTTCGTCATGTTTGTTCTCTCATTCAAATTATTTTACGAAAATATGGGCCAAAAATAAGAGGGAATAGCATAAATAGAGGAAGAGATGAAAAAAGAGAGCAGCAACGCAAAGTGCCAGCCAAACGCCAAAGCAAATGAATGAATAGCATACAGAGAACATACGGTCGATCTTTTTTCCCTTCCTCTATGCCGTTCGGTGCTGTTTTATTTTTTTCTTCATCTTTTTTCTCGGTTTGATGTGAACAGAGAACAAAGCCTTTCAGCCCCTTCCGAAAAGCGCATATCGCCCTAACCAACGACACTGACATCAATTTTTCTCTCTTTTTTTGTCCTAAGCCCAAAACTATTGTTCTGACGCTCAAATATTCTCCCTGACCCACTCGTCCCTTTGCGCTGCCACACAAACTCCACAGTGATATACACGTTTCAGTGGTTAGTAGCGACCACACTTTTTGCTCCAATATTTTTATCATTTTTCGTGCGGTCTCTTTCATTTGTTCGTTCGTTCGTTGGCCATGGCTGAAGCTGTTGCTGTTTTTATTGCTGTTAAAATTGCTGAAAAACGACATACACACACAAAAGGTTATCCGACAATCCAATGATATAAAGCTCAGCTGATATGGGATCGGAGGCATCTCGTGTGTATGTGCGGGTTGCGGGACACACACACAGCGCACCGCCCAAACCATACCGAATAAATAACGGATAAATGGTGCGATGTTTTACTTTGCGTATATTTCGCAAATGAGTGAAGATTCGTGCATTTTTTGATTGAACATAAACATTGTATACTTGAAAATGGCATTTGTTGTGTGCAGTGCACAGTGCACACTGCTACCACTGTTGATGCTTTGGTGATGCTGCTGCTGCCATCGCCACCATAACCACCACCACTGTTGCCGCTCATTCACAAAGTCCCTTGACTGTGATGCTCCCTTCACACTTTTGCTGCTGTTGGATTTCAGCATTTATAATTTGCTATCGTCAATTTAATATCGCCGAGTTTTGCTTCTTTTTATGTCCATTTTTTTTGTTGCACTGTGCTTTTAAATAATTACAATTACCAGATATTTGCCTTTAGGTTACTGCACACCATACTCTGTTGCTTGATATCCGCAAAATGTACGGTTTTGAAAATGTGAGCTATTTTCATGTTTTGTTTAGGTCGTTCTTCGCCCATCGCTTTGTTTGTGCTTGTGTGTCTTTTTTATCATTCCTTTGGAATGAGTTAGTGTGTGAGCGAGAGAAAGAAGGAAATGAGGACGACGAATGAAGCGCACACCATCAACAACAAATGCAAACGAAAAGTTTAGTCGCTAACCCGATTTCTCTCTGTGTGTCGCTATGTGTGCTCGCAGTCACGGCCGTCGCAAGTGTCTACAAATACAACATTATGAATAGTTTGAACATGAAACTATGTTAAATGTTTCGAATGTAAACGAATATTGTTGTGCCGTTGGAATTTCAAATTAAAAATGAACAACCGGAATGCACACAACGACAACATGCGCATCGTTGTCGTTGTCGTCGTTGATTTGCAACATTGTGTTTGCTTCTTTTTTTTATCTGTTTCGCAATGTCAGTAGAACTTAAAACACTGCGATAATAATAATAACAATGGAAATGCGTTTATTTATAAAATGTTGTGTTTTCTTTCCCTGTTCTTTTCTCTTCTTTTTCATTTCGATAGAGAAAGACATATATTTGCTGCATACATGAATTCAAGATCTCCAACACAGCGTGTGACAGTGTTCGTCCCCGATGCTCCAAACCGACATAAACGTGATTCTACGAAGTCGTGAACAAAATAATAAAATCAAGCACATGCATGCTGCACGAAGATCATAAGGAAATTCAATAAACTCGAAAGAAATTTAGATTGTGAGAGACAGACACAGAGACAGAGCGATAGTACAACCAATTTACCGGAACTAACAAAATAGAGGAGAAAAAACGCAAGCAGAACCATTGAAGCAGGGAGAAATAGACAAAAGAAACCAGAAATCATTGGAGTGCTGCAATTTCGCGTTGATCAAATAAAAACACTCACACACACATAAAATACAAATTGCGAAACGAAGTACCCGACCCCGATTTTATTCACAGTGCTCCACAGCCGATCACGGGAATCATTCATCAAACATGAGTGCAACGGTTTTATATGTCGTTTTAATACACCTTCTAACGAAATGCTATCAAATATCATCACAAACATTACAGGGTAAGTTCATTTGTTCTCCTTTTCTCCTTTTCTCCTTCTTTTCACCACTTTCTGAGCGTAACAATAAACAGACGAAATTTCTCATTTTAATGTGTGCGCGCAATCCCTTGCTCGCTTCCAATTCTCTCGACGTTGCGATGCACCCACTAAAAATGGAATGTCGATGATGCACCTCTGATTGAATTCAAGCCATAAAGTGAATTATTTTCCGGGAAAATGTGCGCTCGAACACGAGCACGCGAACGCGCGCGCACGCACGCCCACAACACAAAAATCAATTGAATGTAATGGCAAAAAGCGATACCAGAAATTGATGCCCTTCCAATATTGAATTGCGTGCAATTGATTCCATCCGCTTGATTTCTTTCCTCTTCAAACATTCCATTGAAATAATTGGGAGCTACAAAAGCAAAACGAACATCAATTAAAATCCTATTTTCAACTTTCTTAGTGTCACTCAATGATATTATTTCCTTTAAGTGAAATCAAAAGTAGAAGATGGAAAAACAGTGGACACGACATCAAAACCATAATGCCAACGAGAAGTTATGTTTACGTGGGGCAAAAGTCCAGGAAAAACTCCAGCACCGTCAATTTCAAAAAGTTTAAGTGGCACAAAGACAACGATTAAGTGGTGAAAAACACGAAATGAAGGAGTAACTGCGGGAAAATGCGAGCGACAGCGCGGACGAAAAAAAGCCAAACAAATTATTTTATGCGATATATTTCATTTCCCAATTGTGTGCAGTGGAACAAGCAGCAGCACCACCACCGACGCCACCAAAAAAATGAGCCAAATAAAAAAGTAAACAACAATGGCAACGCTGAAACAGATAACGCAAAACTATTTTCAGAATTATATCGCTTTTTTTTCTTCTCTCTCTTGCTCGCTTGGATATCATATGTGTATGAGGAAATAACATATATGTACTCCTTGAAAATGAACATATCGACTATCATAGTTTAAACACCGTATAAAATGTGTGCTCTGCATCCAACGAACATTTTACCCAACTCTTGGGGTTTTTGGTATGCTTCAGCTGCTACCGTTCGGCTTTGGTTTGAGTTTAGTTTTCTGGTCCAAGCATTCGCGCGATATACTCCAAATGATATATCTGGGCTGTATTTAGCCATTAGATAAATGGTGATGTTATGCTCGATGGCCGTTTCGCTCTTTGACCGCAATTTATAAAATACAATATCACCGCACATGTATATACATGCATCTACACAGTCGGTCTTTTTCTATCGCACACGCTGAACTCTCGGCACACACACACACATGCCCATAATATGGTGGTGGCAAACAACAATCAACTTCGGTGCCGAGTTTTTAGTTTGTTTTGTTAGCTCGTCGGTCATTCGGTTTGTTTGTACTTCTTTTTTTCTGGTTCAGCTCTCTCAATCCGGTTATATGTCGTTTTTTCGATGTTTTAAATGTTCATTTTACTCTCTTATTTTTGGTATTACGTCGAACTTTTCGATGATTTACGGTATGCTCAGTGCTCATACACACACATATACTCAATGAGTGAGCGCCCACAAAGAGATAGAGAACGAGAAGTGCTTGTTACAAAAAGCGGGCCAAACGATGACTACGACGACGATAAGATACGTTTTGACTGCAAATAATTATTTGATGTAACCACTTGAAGATTCAATTCGATGGCATCGAGGATGGATTTTTGATTCCACAAAGTTAAAACGTTTATCATGTTGCTCCCATTTTTTACTTGCAACTCTCGTTGTGTGTGTGTGTGTGTAAGTCTGTGCTCGCATTCGCTGTCTCTTTATTTTAATGAACTTTCGGCTTGTGTGATAAGTTTTGTTTGGCAAAGTCCAACGCAAATAGACGACGATGCCAGAGACAGAGCGAGAGACTAGTGGGGAGGATGGAGCAGATGTTGAAAATTAAAAGACGGCTATTCCAGCATGGGAAATAATAGTCGCTTATTCACTCGCTCTACAGTTCACTTCGGGTGGGTGCCCGGTGCTGTGTGATTTCGATTCTTCCATTGCGGATGAAATTTGCTGTACTTTTTAATACTTTTGGATTTGAAAAGTTTTTTTTTCATTCAATTTAGAAAAGTTGGCAGTTTGGCATTAGCCAGAGAGAGTTTTGTATTATACTTTTTTCTATCCTTTTTATGGCCGAATCATTTCCAAGCGAGTGACTATTTAAGCATCAAATGAATGTCCAAGAATGAAAACGCAACTTCTATTCACAACACATATAAGTGAAACAAAAATAAAAAATTTATTGAAATGAAACAACAAAATCGAATTTTTTCAAAGTGTAACAACAAAAAAGATTTTTTTAAAGTGTAACATCGGTATGTTGTTACACTTACTACTCACTTATATGTGTTGTGAATAGAAGTTGCGTTTTCATTCTCGAACATTCAAATAATTGATTAGCAAATTTCGAGCGGCGATAAATTAATCCGAAACAATGCAAACACCTCTTTTTTTGCTCTTTTTCTCTCGCTTATCACTTTAATTGAGATCTTTAGATAAGTTTATGACTTCTAATCGTCTATTCGTTTCGAGAAGCCACACACTGTGTACGTGGATGAGTGCGTGCGTGCGTGCGTGCCTTTGCTACATCTCAACACTTGTGATAATGTTTGGCAATAGAAAACAGATGAGACTTGTCGACAACAACAAGCAACAGCATAAATGGCTGCAAAGTCGTTTCCTTTGCTTTTCTTCCCTTTCCGCCTGAATTCGACGACGGAAGATTTACGATAAACGTTCTATTTAGTTTCGTTTTGTTTGTTTGTTTGTTTTCGCTGGCTAATGTGTTTATGCCAAAATTGTTCTTTACTCTATTCTGTCGTTTTATTCTGTACTTCTTCCATTCTGTATGTGTGTCGGTCGAACAGATATCAATCAAGGTGTTGAACTGGAGCCAGAGTTTATAGGATCAATATCGAATGTTACATATCCGGTTGGTCGGGAAGCCGTGCTCACATGCAGCGTCAAGAACTTGGGCAAATACAAAGTAAGTATTATTATTCCATGGTTAGCACTGACGTGTGCGCGCTCCGCACACAATCCAATGGAGTCGAGAATTTGTGTCGATGACGAAAATCTAAATCCGATTTCGAATAAAATGTGTTTGACATGCACTGTTTAATAGCTCGATCCGCACATCAACACTACCGATATTTGATTGTTGTAACACACGGCGCACTCCATTACACTGAATCCGGAGCTTTATGTTTCGCAAATCTCAACACTTGTAGCCATTTAGTTACATACTATTTTATCTATGCTCTGTTTCTTTTATTCACTCTCTCACGTTCCCTCGTTCGTATGTGTATTTGCACACGCCAAAAAGGTGGGCTGGCTGAGAGCGGCAGATCAGACTGTGCTAGCATTACAAGATCGTGTTGTAACGCATAATGCCCGAATTAGTGTTAGTCACGAAAACTACATAACATGGCGTTTACGTATCAAACAATTACGAGAGTCCGACAAAGCGTGCTACATGTGCCAGATTAACTCAAGCCCAATGAAAAAGCAAATCGGCTGCATCGACGTTCAAAGTGAGTATCGTTCGATTATTCGCATTTAATCTGATTTTTTTTTCATTAATTGAACAAATTGCTCCAGTCCCTGAATATGAAAATCGAAACACGAAGAAACTAATAGTCAGAAAAAACACGTCCATGACCATATTAAAAAGAAATTTTTGGAACTGGAAATTTTTTTGGTTGTGTTTCACTTCAAACGATAGATAGTTATTTCAAATGTCAGATATCACATACATTACATGCCCTAACACATGATGTTACTTTGATGTTTTTTTTCATTGGTGAAATGAATTTTTTAGTTCCGCCAGACATAATAAACGAGGATTCATCGGTTGATATGGCTGTGCAGGAGGGCGAAGATGCGGCTTTGACATGCCGTGCCACTGGTAATCCCACACCGAGAGTCACGTGGAAAAAGGAAGATGGTGACTACATTTACATTCGGAAGCAAGGAAATCGTGATTTGATGAAAGGTCAGCATTAAATATTCAACAATATTGAAAAATGGAACTTTCACTTCAATTGACATTTGGACATGATGCAGAAAAATCTTTCTAAAAATGAATCAATTGACATTGGATTAATTGGATTTAAACATTGTTCTTCTTTCACAGTTGAATCATATAATGGATCAGTACTTCGGCTATCACGGTTGGAGAGGAAGCAAATGGGAAGTTACTTATGTATCGCGTCAAATGATGTGCCACCAGCCGTTTCGAAGCGTGTGTCATTGAGTGTGCATTGTAAGTGAGATATTTTCAAAGGGGTATTGCAACTTTTTTGACCAAAAAAAACGCCATCCTACGTCGTGTCCGTAAATTATTTTACTGTACATTTAGATGGTAGAGCTTGAACAAAAGTTCGATACTATGCACAAACTTGGAAAGAGCTTGATAAACTTGATGAAATACATATATTTTATGGTCATTTTTGAAGCAAACACTTTTTCGTTACAATTGAATGACATTGTTCGTTTTTTGAAATGCAGTTGCACCATCGGTACGTGCACCAAGTCAGCTGTTAGGAGCACCGCTAGGCAGTGATGTACAGTTGAATTGCCAAGTGGAAGCTTCCCCAGCTCCAGTTAGTGTAAGTATAAACCGAATTTTTATCTTAGTTTTGCATTGAACGTCATTATAATAAAAAAAAACAGCCTAGCTTGTGATTTTTTATCGCAATTCGGTCATTCTCAATAACAATAACAGTGATTATCGATTCTTCTCTTCTTCAATCTGAACGAATGTTTCTTCATTTCACTTCACACAGTATTTTTATATTATTTCTCCTTTTTTTCAGTATTGGTTAAAAGGAGGGAAATTGCAAGGGTCCCTTGGGAATAGTTTGAACAATGCAGAAATCGGTCAACCAAGGCCAGAAATGCTGCTGGACGGGTAATTTGCTAATGCACTTTCATAGCAATAGCTCGAAAATAATGATTCTTTTTGTTTGGATGATTTGTACAGACCGAAATACGGAATAACCGAGCAAAGGACCGGCTATAAAGGGATTATGCGATTAACGATTCGTTCGTTTTCGGCAAACGATGTGGGCACATATCATTGCGTCAGTACGAATTCACTTGGTCGCGCCGAAGGCACATTACGACTATATGGTAAAACGATTGCTTTTTTCCTTCGAATTTTTCAATCGAAATTCGTTCTCAATTCTGATTTTACTCGTTTGCACAGAAATTAAAATACACCCAGGCACATCCGAATCGGATGGTGATCAACTGAATATTATCGGCGGTAAGTTTGTCAATGGACAATACACTCTACCGTCCCACTCACACCCACAATGTACAACAGAACTAACGGAATTATTTTCCTTTTTCATAGGAATGGCCGAACAAGCGCGTGGCACCGCCAATCGACAGAATTCCAATTCATATATGATGACTGTATTCGTTTATATCACAATAATAACTGTCAACTTGTTTCAAACACATAATTTGTTGCCATCCCTAAGATGATAAACTCTTTCATAAGCTCCGGACGAAATGTGATCAATTCGAAAATGTAATTATCGATGAAATCGAAGGAAAACTTTTAAAGTGATTTCGCAAAGTTATAGATTCGACGACATGCAGCATCGATGCCAAAACCGACGAAAAGAAAACAAACAATTGAGTAAAGAAAATTTGATTTTAGTTTTTACGACAACAATCCCAGCACATGATCAACTTATTTTCACATCCGAAAAACCGATTTCATGCGCTCACGCCACTGGACAGTTAGTTTTGGTTAGATTTTTTTTTTATCGAACCTTCCCAAAAGATGGATTCAATTGGACTGACTTTGTACTATACATCCAAATGTTTAGCGAACAGAATGTGGTAGTAAAAGGATTCTTTCTTTTATTTTGTTTTCATATACATGTATAAATACTGCTCAATATTTTAACATTGAAAAAAATTTAAAACTATGAATATTTGCGATGAACGAAGATGAAGAGAAAATTGTAAAATAAAAATGAACATGAAAATAATTCTGTGAGAAACTATTTGAATTTAGGTTTAAGTCAATTGATTATCAACAACATATATGTATGCAAATGCTGAAATATCCAACAAAAACAACAACAGAAAACCCAATTGAACTTTAACATTACTGAAAAAAAACTAGTGAATTAGAACACCATGGATTTGTTGTTTCTGTCACAAAATCCCCGTAATAAACGTACATATAAATATTTATCGAAGGCCCCTGTCAAAACTCTATGATAGTCCATTTGTCACGAAAGACCTTTCATATGATATCCATATTGACTATTCATATGCAAAAATGGTGTTAAGTCGTGCTAACATGGCCACAATGGACCGAGATGGTGTCCATGTTCATCTCTGTTGCAAGACCTTTCATATGACACCCTTATTGACTATTCATATGTGAAATGGTGTTAAGTCGTGTTAACTCGACCACGATGGACCGTGATGGACCATGATGGTGCCTATGTCATCCGCGGGCTCAAGACCTTCCCAATGGTACCCGGCACTTTTAGATCGGTTGAGCGGTTTAGGAGATTACCCCGAACATACATACAAACATTCAGCTTTATATATATAGATATAGATATATATCATTCCTATCTCACGTAATATATCTAACGTCGTTCAACGTAGCTAACAAAAACGAGAAATGAAACCGTCAAAACACTCGATGGAAATGGTTATCAAAAAGACACAAACACATTTTTACCTTGTAGCACATATTTCATCATTCGATACTCCGTAGCATTCCATGAATAAAATACAAGCATACGATATCGTTTGAGCGATTGAATTTTTAAAAGAAATGAGATTTTCTTTTTTTCTTGTAAACCCCCTATCAGAAAAAAAGAATGTTCTGTGAATAAGCATATCGTTCTGTGGTGATATTTCTTAAATGAACAAAATAAACGATTAATAATTCATCCAAAAAATATGTCAAATTATCAAGAAATTATACGTCAAGAGAATCAAAACTACAATATCAACCAGCTGAACATTTCTTCTTCCCTTGGGAGATCAATCGAACGCGAATGATGATGACCGTTGAAGAGATGCTCTTTGGCTCGTGAAACGAAACGAACATTTGTAGGAAAAAATGAACCCTTGTTTACTATCAGTAATGAAATAAGAACCAAAAATTCAAACAAATAATACAAATTCCTTAACTCTTGAACATTTTATCAAGCATACACTTACTTGGCTATAATTTAGAGCATATTCAATTTCGAGCATCTGGGCTTATCAAAACAAATAAAACAACACAGAAATCGATACTAATGACATATTTCAATTATATGAAGAAAAAAAATATCCAGCCAAATAAACTAAGTATAAATCTCCAGTTGAGGGGAGAAAAAGTAAAAAAAAAACAATTTCCCAAGGAAGTGAATTCCAAATGAATTGTAATTATATGTTATCATTTTTTGAATGAAGAATTGAATTCTTCAAAATACATAATTCACAATCAATTCAAAAAAAAAAATCAATTAGTATGTATGGATGTGTGACGCTATAAAATGTAACGTTCTAAAAATTCCATTGTGATTATTGCTTTGAATTTGATCTCAACAGTAAATTCATAGAACGAAAACAAAATATAACTTAAAAAGAATACAAAAAGAGAAAATGAATCAAAATCGACGACATTCAGAGAAATCTGACTCATTTGGCATGATTTCCTATCAAATTTTTGCGTCGCAGTTTCTAATTATGCTTTTGAAACTGCGCAAAATTTCAACGTATTTTGCTCCCCATCAAATTGATTGTAATGTAAGCCATTGACTTTTTGATGCTGAACAACCAAAACAAAACTACTCCAGAAGTAAAAGAAAAATTGGCTACATTCGAAAGAATAATAAATAAATGCTACTTTCCACGATATGTCTTCAATATTGTGATCAGCTGAAAATCCGAACCTGTTTGTCTTTTAATTTGACTTTTTTTTACCCAAATTTGATTCTCTTTTCATTTTTTTTACCCAAATTTGAAATAAAAGGTTTGTAATGCAGTCTTTGCAGTGTTCAAGATTAGAAATGACGTTCGAGGTAAGTATCTCATTAGACAATTTGATTATTTTTATTATGGAAATGAATCTGTTGCAATCACACTCAAATACACATTCGACGATAATAAGAAACAGATGATTTCTGCGTAAATGTAAAACAATCGAAATGCAAGTCAAGGTCTTGTTCGCAATTTTATCGTTGTAGACATTCTTGATTAATCGCGACAGAAATGACTCAATGACTTTGACATTTTTATCGCGGAAATTTTGAAGAAAAATTATTTCTCGAAATGCGTGAACGAACAAAAATCAATGATCATTTGATCGTATCGACGTATCGTATGTATGTCGAATTTCACTCTTGATTTCTTTTAAACGCAATTTCGATTGCCATGGTCCCATTCCACATTCGGATTGTCGCGAATCAAATCAGAAATGACGCAGACGTGTTTTACTCTGATTGTAATCGATCCACATTTTGAAAGAAAAAAGTTGATTCTGGTGTTATTCCTCCCGTGATATCGATGATTAGATTATTCCTGGGCAACGTTGGTTTAATCAAAAAATCTATATAAAGTTGAATTGGTGCCTCAAATTTTTCAGTTTAAAGTGTTAAAAATGAAATTCGCAATTTGCTTGATTGTTTCATGCCTGTATGTTGGCTTAATTAATGCTGAAAATAAGTGGAAAATTATTGAAACTGAGGTATCTGAATCGAATAGACAAGATGTGTCTGAGTCTAATTTTCCCAATTGAATTTTTTTTTACACTAAATATGCATTTCATCAAAGTGGTTGGCCGTTATTATTTATTTGATTTTTGACAAAAAAAAACTGATTAAATTTCACAGGCTCATTTCGATGAACAAGTGAAAAATGCTGGAAATGTTTTGATTGTTGTGGAATTTTTCGCCCAATGGTGCGGACCATGCAAAGTCATCACACCAGCTTTAAACAAACTGGCTCAAAAATATGACAACGTTATCATGCTCAAAGTAAGTGGTCAAAAAGAAAATACTTTTTAGTAGAAAATTAGAACCCAAATGATTATTCATGAAAAATGCGATATTCATTTGATTGATTTTTGTCTTGAAATTCCAGATGAATGTTGATGAGAACATAGAATTGGCTGCAAGATTCAAGGTTACTTCAATGCCAACATTTGTTTTCTTGAGAAATAGTGAAACCCAAGAGTATTTTGCTGGAGCCGACTTACGTCGCGTCGAAAAAACTATCGTCAAATTTAATAACTAACATTGTTTTGTGTAGCTATGTTCTTGTACACTAAATTTTCCAGTGAAAATCAATAAAAACAAAAATAGTGATGGAAAAAATCAAAATTTTATTTACAAATAAAATATGAAAAAAGGTATCAATATACGCTGAATTTAGTAAAACTGATGGATGGAATTGTGATCAATCGTCAGAGATACATTCAATGCTGCTCAGAGCAATCTCTGCCTTTGGAACTAATTTCATACAAAAATCACTCTCAAGTTCAGAGCTGGAAAAAACACTCTGTGTGTGCGCGAGTTAATAAGTGTTTTACTTATGACTTTCTTTTTAATCTGTTTGCGTAAAGACTCTTTTTAATTCAAAAGGTGAAGGAGTTTCTTTTTAATTTCTTTATTGAGAGGAAAAGACAGATTGGGGTCAAAGTCAAGACTGAATTATTATATTTAATTTCTTGCTATTTATAGCGGTATTTTGGTGATTGGTTAAGTAAAGATAATTTGATCAAATCATCTAATTTGGTTCTTGTCAAGCTATAATCATATGCATGGTATGCTATGTTAACTTTATTATGTTTTCTAAGCTAAATATGGAATATTGTGTTCACTCGCGCACGTAACTAAGAACGCACACACAGTAGATGTGCGGTGATTTCGGTTCTACTGTCAAATTTTGGCGGAATCTATGTAAATGTGCACGCACACCAAAAAAACAAGCGCTGTGTGCGCCGCACATCTACTGTGAGTGCGTTCTTAGTTACGTGCGCGCACACACAGAGTGTTTTTTCCAGCTCTGCTCAAGTTCCTTGTCTAACCCACAAAATGATTTTAACATCGATTACAATTCATTTCAGGTGAATATCACGAATTGAATGAATGGGAGGACATGGTCATATTATCGTGTTTTATTAAGTTTCACTTCAATATAATCGATCAAATCAGCTATTGCTATTTTATTGACGCATTGACAAGAAAAAAGTTTAATTTGTGTTGTTCTTCTCATAATATCAATGATTAGATTATTTCTAATTTCATTATTCGGCTATTTACTATGAAAAGACACTGATAGCTGAAGCGTTTGCCTTTGAGTCTTGCCTTGAGGATGGACCAAACGTTTTCAATCGGATTGCAATCGGGTGACTGTGGCGGCCAAATCATTTGATTGATGCCATGATCCTCTTTCCACTCGGTGCACAGGTCACTCTTGTGTTTAGGGTCATTGTCTTCCAACAGAAGCCATTCCGAAGCATATCCGCCAAAGTACTTCCTGGCGGTGGGAAGCAGTGCCGATCGATACAGTTTGCACAATGCACATTCGTGGCGCGTCTAGTATGCCGGTGAAAATGCTCAGCGTGCCGAAACCGGCTTCACAAAAGGCGCCGTAAACATGTAGCTTCTGCGGATGCTTAATCGTGCGAACCACCGTTCTTCTTTCGCGTGAACACCAAGTATGAGTAAGCGGAGTCGACAACCCAAACGATGACTCGTATGTAACGTTTTTAGGGAACAATATTTTATGTTCGGTTGTTGCTGTAACAGGTCTGTATTCCCATTTTTATGCTCAGCGACACATGTATAGAAAAATATCAATTTTTCCCACTGCACATTCAGAGATGATTTGAGCCAAAGTGAGAGGCTTTATTAAAAACTGATGTTCGGGAGGTAAAGCTAATTTTCGACGAGGAATCCAAAAATGCAACTAATTTGGAGTTGAAGAGTGAGGTTTACCTACTTTGGGGTGGTTTTTGTACTTTTTTCACTTTTTGAAACCTGCCCTTCAAACTGGGTCAACATGGGAGGCCAACACTATGTGCCAATGAAAATGCACATTATAGTGTAGATGGGGTCGAGTATGTTTCAAATATATGCCAATTTTTTTCCGCACCCCCTGTGTATCCAAAAAAGGGCGGCCATGAAAATCAGGATATTGACACCAAAGGTCATATCACCCAGCCATGGGAGGAAGGGCACTGCTTTTTGGGCCAATATTGTAGTACTCGTGAATACCTATTCAACGGTATGCATAACATTTGTTCACATTATGACCGAAAAATCGTTACAAGAAAGAAATAAAATTGTTGGGTCAAAAAAGTAAGTTTATCCCCGTTTTCTGGGCCAATAAGTGGATTTATCGTTAAGGTGTGTTGGTGAAAGTTGTATTGCGACTCACGAGGAACAACTTAGCTGTAGACCGTTTAGACCCATCTTGCCCCATCTTGCTTAAATTAAAAATACCAGTGTCCCATTTAAGGACACATCGCTTTCCCATTTAAGGAAAAAGCCGCCATTTTTGTGAGTCAGGACAAATTTTTTTATGACGCAATACCAAGAAATTCACTTTGCAGATTTGAAATAGACACAATTTACTAACTATTCAATATATTTACCTTAAAAATGTTCACAACACTTCAAACTGTGGGTGTGTGGAAATTGTTCGAAAAAACGTTAATTTGGAAAATTTCAGACCAATATTATTTCTCAAACAAGCGATGCGTCTTAACTCTTGAGAATACTACCAAAAGTGAGCGTTCGTTGAGCTAATCGTTTGGTACTAATGACATTTGAATGCTACTTTCGGATGTCCAAAATTTTCGACTGCCCCGTTTAAGGACATGTCCCACTAAAGGCTTCATCAATTTGTCCCACTGAAAATTTTGTTATTTCTTTTTGTGTGGATTCGAATTCTAAAAATGGCTGCTTTGAACAAAAATTTACTTTTGGTAGTAAAATAGGTGGAAAAATGTGATTTTTTTCGATACGTGAACACTACTAGAAAATTTTAGTTCTGAGATTATTCGATTTTTGTCATCAGCATAGTCAATCTTAAGGTAATTGGAGGCGCTGAGTTCAAATAACCTCGTGCAGCTTGGCGTCATTTCCTCCACTTCCATATGTTTGCAATGATATTTGAACTTTGACAAGCAAGCTTCTACAATGGAAATTAAATGTGAGTGGAGACGCCAAAAAATGACTCCAAACTCGTCGATTAATGATCGAACCTAGGGGTTTCACGCAACTTAAAATTCATCTAAAATTTCAATATTTTTCTCTTTTCTCTAAAATTCTCTGGGATTCACCAAAATCCGTATTATTTCGAAATATTTCAACATTCACCTTGAAAATTTTGTTCTAGAAGTGGGTTTTGGTGGATCCTCAGGATCGTTCAAAACTGCTCCCGGTTCTGGAAGTGGGTTTTGGTGGATCTTCAGGATGGATCAGACTGGGTTTGACAATGCCCTGGTCCATCCTGAGGATCCACTTCCAGAACCAGGAGCGGTTTTGAACAATCCTGAGGATCCACCAAAACCCACTTCCAGAATTTTTAGATTCAAAAAATTCTAAAAAATTCGAGTTTATGAATAAAAAGAAGCAATATCTATAGTTTACACATAAAATGGTTTTATTTCCAGCTATTTAGTAAAATCTTCGGCCTTCGAGTTTGCGTGAAACCCCTAGGATCGAACTACTTTGGTGTTAAAAATACACTTGGAACCATGTATTTTTGCTATATGGCTGAATTTGTTTAAAAAAAACCATATTTTTGTACAAAAACTTTCCTAAAAAGCAACATTAGCTAATTTTTGACAACGGATTCGTGTTCAGCGTCCCAAAAAACCCTAAAAATGATATGTCACCAGATTCGATTTGAATAACCTATGCTTTTTCTATCAATATATATGTTGAAAAATAGGTCAAAAACAGCCATTTTAAGTACGGCTCTATCGACCACTAGATTTTAACATTCTTTTTATCTGAAAATGGGAATCAACTAGTTTTGTGCCCATTTTAATTTTGAGCTATTGGGAGCATATACCTTACCATAATAAATCAGTTTGGACCACCTCAATATTCATTTCTAGATATTTCTAAAAATATGAATATTCATTCATCAATAATTCTTGTCAGATATGAATTCATTCATAAGATTTTAACCGAAAATATAAATCTGACTGTTCCACAAAACTTTCCGAATATAGAATAATAATGAACAGAAATCTAATTTCATATGCTGTTATCCGGTCACTTCAAAATTATTGATTTATCAGGGAAAAAGAAATAATTACAATCATGAAGGATTTTATAAACAAAAATTTGAAAGCCCTCATAAACTGTGGCTGAATCTTTTTGACACGGAAAAATAGAGAACAGTAACATTTTTAATGAAATAAGAAATCGGATGACTTTTAACTCATCAATAGGGCTAATTAAAATATTTATTTAAATATTTTGAGAGGTTTCGCTAATAATAAATATTTTTTTTTTTTTAATATTTCCGCATTTTTGGAAGATTTTCTTCTTAATTCAACGACAAATTTATAAGAAAACAGATTGAAAATGGATTTCGTATCACAAAATTCGCTCAATCATATTAAACAAGCAATCTTTATCGGTTATTGCTTATAATGTGCATGAAACAACACGAAAAGAATGATCTGGAGAGAAGTCATAACAACGACGAAAAAAGGATTGATAAACAAATCAAATGTTTCGCTTGTATCTGCACTAATGTGCAACATGCTCAAAAACAGATGACAAATGAGGAGCTCAGAGGAAAAATGTTACATAGAAAAGTTCCGCGGAAAAATATTTGGGAGCTAAATGATATCATTTGTGTTGAATTTGATCGAGACAAAATTCTCAGAACTTTCACAGTATTTTTATATAAGCGATTAAAATTGCGAGTTCAATAAAAAATTTATGCTGAGGTAAGCACATTTAGACTATATAATGGATAAGCCATTGGATCACTAGTCGCATTTTGAATTTAATATCGATCGAAGTTAGTAGTACTCAAAGTACAACAGATAATTGACTCATTAGTTCTGATTTTTGATGTCTAAAAAAAAAAAGTAAAGAAACTCAAGCCGAATTCAACAATCGAATGGTTAAGCTTCATCCAGAAGTGTTTCGCGCCGATAATACTGTATTATTTTGTTTGATGTGTTTGATAAAAAAAATTCTTTGTAAATATTTCATGGTTTTTGACGATAATTAAATATTTATCATAAATATTTTTGCAGTTTTTTCTTAAATATTAAATAAATATTTTGGACCTTTTGCGTAAATTTTTTAATTAGCCCTACTCATCAACTTTGACTATTTTATTCCAAAAATATACACTGAATTTAGTAAAACTGTTGGATGGAAATAAATAGTACGGCTATTTATGATCAGTCATCAGAGATACATTCAATGCTGCTTAGAGCAATCTCTGCCGTTGGAACTAGTTTCACAAAAAAATCACGCTCAAGGTACTTCTCGATAATTCTTACATCGAAAACGGTTCATTTCAGGTGAATTACACGCGGATACGGTCGTATTATCGTGTTCTGTTAAATACTCACTTCAATACAATTGATCAAATCAGCTATTGTCATTTTATTGCGAAGAACAATGTTGGATTTTGTGTTGTTCTTCTCATGATATCAATGATTAGATTATTTTTAATTCCATTATTGTTATTGGTTATTCGGCTTTTCACCATAATAAAGCACTGATTTCTGTCAAGTGTCAAGCTTAATGAATTGGTGATTTGAACTGTAAATATGAAATTTGTGATGTGCTTGTTCGTTTCTTGCATTGGCATACAGGCTGCATCAAGCATAGGCTTGTTTGATGTTGAGATCGGATGGAAAATTATTGAAACTGAGGTATTGAATTGTTTTTTTTTTCTCGACTAACAAAGGAAGCTCTACGGCTGAAAATATGTATTTTTTAAAAATTGATAATAATTTGTAGGTGCTCAAGATTTTAGCTAACAGTTGAATACCATTCACAGGCCCAGTTCGATGAACAACTAAAGAATGCTGAAAATGGTTTGGTTGTCGTGGAATTTTGCGTCAAATGGGCATCACCATGCTTAGCGATGGAACAATTTTCAGGGAAAATAGCTTATATACATGATAACGTTGTCATGGTCAAAGTAATTACGAGAAATCAAATACGAAATGTGGACTGTCTGAAAAACTTTTTATTCGTTTGTTTCATACTTTTAGGTTGATATTGAGGAAATGAAGGATTTGGGCACAAGATTCAACATTTCTGCAGTGCCAGCATATGTTTTCTTGAAAGATGGTGAATTCATTGAGTCTTTCCTCGGTTTTCAGCCAGATCACCTTGAAAAAACCATCAGCAAATTGAATAAATGACATTGTTTCACTGTGTTCTTTATAATTCGTTCATGAGATTTTGACTGGAAATATAAATGCTACTGTTCCACAAAACTTTCCGAATAAAGAATAACAATGAACGGAAATCTTCTGTTCACTCCAAAATTATTGGTTTATCAGGGAATGAAAAACAATTTCAATTGCACGTGTCCATATTTTGACTTTGACTTCGTCAAGATCATCAAGTCAAAATTAAACTAAAATTTAAAATGCTTGAGAAAACACTTGTTCAAATAAAATAAAAAGAATAACATTGGTAATCCCCAACTTTTCCGTACCGTTGACCTGCGTTGTCCGTTGGTAATTTTGGTTATTTTTTGTGAATTTTCTTGAAATAAAGGCAGTGAAAATATAATAATAAAAATAAAGTGAAAAATCAGTCACTTTAACTAAAACTTCGACAATTTTGTATGAGAGGTACCCGTAAACCGATTATTATTGGCTTTAAACTTCCTTAGGTTTCTTTTTTTGGAGAAAAAATAAGATTCTGAAAGTTTCATGTTGATCGCATTTGCAGAAGTTTGGTTTTTGCCCCACAATTTTTTCCAAGAAAATGTCGACAAAAATTGAGGACAAAAAATCAAACTTCTGCAAATGCGATCAACATGAAACTTTCAGAATCTTATTTTTTCTCTAAAAAATGAAATCCCAGAAAGTTTGAAGCCAATCGGAGTCGATTTACATGTACCTCCCATACAAAAGTGTCAATTTTTTGAGGTTTTTCTTAGTGCAAGTACCCCAGGATCAAATCGAAAATGGCTCATCTACGAACTTAAACTAAGTTTTTCGGATGCAAAACTTTTGGCATTTCCAGATTTTGATTATCTCAATTATTTTTTGAGTTATCGTGTTAACAAACACCAACGACAACGACGACGGTACACGAACGGAAAAGTGTCTCAAAAAGTGGTTTTCTACGCGTTTCATGAGTTTTTATGATGATCTAAACTAATTTTGCGAAAAAAAGTTTTCGGGACCAATTCCTATACTTTCCCTTGACACGGTGTGTACGGAAAAGTAAAATGAAGTATGCATCGTGTTTGATTTCATTGTTCCTGTACATTAGCTATACTATAATTCGTTTTGCTCTTTTCATGATGATATCAATGATAAGATTATTTCTATTTCATTATTCGGCTTTTCACTATAAAAACGCACTGATTTCTGTCGAGTGTCAAGTTGAATGAGCCTCGAATTGCGCAATTAAAAGTGTAAAAATGAAATTCGTGATTTGCTTGATCGTTTCTTACCTATGCTTGACAAGTGCTGAGAACAAATTGCAAATTATTGAAACTGAGGTATGTGATTGAATTGTTTTTTTCGATTAACCAAGGAAGCTCTACGACAAAAAATACGTATTTTGTTTAAATTGACAATAAATTTGTAAATTTGCCGATCAAGCTAACAATTTATTACCGTTCACAGGCCCAGTTTGATGAACAACTAAAGAACGCTGGAAATGGTTTGGTTGTCGTGGAATTTTGCGTCAAATGGGCAACACCATGCATAGCAATGAAAACAATTTTAGAAAAACTAGCTGTTCTATATGAAAACGTTGCCATATTCAAAGTAATTATCAGAGACCTACTACCAAATGCAGACCGTCTTAAAAACTGTTTATTCGTTTATGTTCAATGTTTAGGTTGATATTGAGAAAATGAAGGATTTGGGTACAAGATTCAAGATTTCCGCAGTGCCAGCATATGTTTTCTTGAAAGATGGTCAATTTATTGAGTCTTTCCTCGGTGCCGAATCACGCCGCCTTGAACACACCATTATGAAACTAAATAATTAAGACTTTTGCTTTTTGTTAATATTCTTTACAACACAAATAATGATAAATATGTATTCATGAAAACAAATGCTGTGTTATTACCTCATTTGCTTTTTCAAGATGAACTAATCGAACAAAAAACTGGGTATATTGCTGCTTTGTATATCTTATAAAGTCATTCATTTTCAAATTTTCAAGCAAAAAATGTGTTTCAATATGAAAATGATATGATTCTGCGTCAGAATATATTTAGGATTTACGTCAAACATGATTAAATCTTCGAAACCAATGCCAATTACACGTCTTTGATAATAATGCAGCGATTGATTCAGTTGTTAGTCATATGATATTGTTGACTTTCGCTGAAAATCGAAATCGTATCAATTGTAAACAAAATTCGCATTCGCAAGATAACGCATGCAAATTGAACTGTCCTAAGAGCGTAACGCATTGTGTGGAGTGCAAATGTATTCTCATTTCACTGGGACATTTCAGTCGCCATGCAATAATAATGGTTGAATAATCGAAATACAATTAAATTTGAGTACGTGGTGAAAATGTGCTTGATTTTGTCGTGCTTCTGCGTTGGTCTCAACAGAGCCAGCTGGTGGAGGGAAATTAGATCAGTGGTGAGAAATACCATCAACGTTAATTCTGTTATAGCAATTGCCAGTGTTCAATTATTTCATTTACAATAAGTTTAAATATTTCAGCCTCAGTTCGACCACGAAATCCGAAATGCCGGCAACAAATTGGTCGTTATTGAATTTTATTACAGTTGGTGTGGGCATACTCAAAAAATTACGCCAGATTTGGAACAAATGTCGCACAAATATCCAAATGTTGTCATGCTAAGGGTATTTCATGGAATCACATAGAAATATTTTTATGTTGATTACGGTTCATTTCAGGTGAATATCATGAACTTCAGCGAGTTGGCCGAACGATATAAAATAATCTATTCACCAACGTTTGTCTATTTGAGACATGGACGCTTGTTGGAAATGTTTGCCGACGCTAAAGTTTTCCTGTTTGAAGAGGTCCTCATCCGTCGATCGAGGTACTTGTGAAGACTGTTTTAATTACTTAACTCATTGGAATCACATGTGCATTTGAATTGTAAAATGAATTGATGAATCACTGTCAAATATTGAAATACAAGAATTACAATGAATGAATAAAGCAAAACAGAACATTCGTACTATGTCCCACATTATTTTATTGAGTGCAAATATCAATCTTCGAATTCAGTTCATTGGTTGGAGTCGAATCGTTTCGGAAATGTAAACAAAGTCAAATGTTCAAGTAATTAAATTTCCCCGGATCATTGAACGTTGATTATTTCTACGCTTGTGGCAGGATCCGTGTTGACCTTATTATCAAAAACAAGACTTCATTTGCGAACTAAGTTGCCAATGGAGAAAGGTATTGGTTATTGAACAAATAAATACAACGATGAGGTATTTTGAGTTAAAAATAGCTGTTTCTTCATTGGAGAGTTGACCTCGAATCGAAATCCTCAATTGAAACGATTGAAAAACTATTCTCATAAGAAATGTTGATAACAAAAATTGGAAGAAAAAATTTCACTACTTCGAATAAGTTATGATTGTACTGAACAAGATTTCGAGTTTGATTTATGGTAACCTCAAATGATGAATTATGATTTCATTAATTTCTCTATAGTTTTTCTTCAATAAGAAGATGTAAACGTACGACTAGATGATAGCTCAAATTTGAGTGAGGTTAAAAATACCATCAATTGCCTTATGACCTCATGAATAAGTAGATTAAATGAAAAAAAAAACATGAACCATGAAATATGCGAATCATTTCTTAAAATTTCAGTCTATGTTTATTCCGATGAATCGTTCTCAATGTAAATCTCCAAACAAATCAAGAATAAAAATTCAAATTCAACAAAGAAGCAGTATTATTGGATATTACGATAACTGATATTATCATTTGAAATGTGAACACAGCACAATGCGTGCTGTCACTTTGACATGTCGTTGTGAGCTACAAGCATAGCAAAAACGAAGCGCGCGGAAAAAACACACACCAGCCAGCCGTCGACAGCGACGACGACAGTTTGACTGTGAATTCCAATACATAGGCACATCGACAAATGCACACGGGCACACGAGCACACATATTGGAATAGCGTCATACCGCTTGTCGCCATCGAAATGATTGTGTTAGGAAAAATCAGTCGGTGTTTGATCACGGTCGCATGAGAAGCATTTTTTTCTCCAAATCAAAGGAATACTCTATCCGTGTTATTTTCTTGTTTGAATTTTTGGAAATTCCCAATCAACCAAAACCTTATCACTCAAAATGGTTCATTTAGTTGAAAGTGTGGTACGTATGTGAAAAATAAAATGGTTTGCATTGACATTTTTCAAGTAAACTATGTAATTTATGCATAGTTTGATACGAGTCAGTTTAACCTTCAGTGAAATTAGACAGATAGTATTGTTTTTTTTTCATCATCATCGTCATTGTGAACAACAACATGTGTGTAGCGACGAAAATTAAATATGGCGCGATGACCACTTCGTTGAAAAAAAAGACACATTTCGATCAAGTGAAGTCATGCAATATTTCGCATACCTTTCTTTCGAATCGCAATTTTTAAAAATTGGAATCCTTCACGTATTTTCTTTATTTCGAGAATGTGCAAAAAAATAAATTATCTGGAATGAAATCTTGCTGTATCATGCATGACGTAATCGTAAATTGCTTGGAATTTTTATTTAAAGAAATATGTGAAGAGCGATCTAATGTTGTACCATGTTTTCATACATAAGGTGATGAAGAAAAAAAATAATTGCGTTTTTGCTGCTGCTGTCATTGTTGTTGTTGTATTGGTTATATTTCAAATTCGGACAAATATAGCGGCGTTGAAACAGCACGAATGTTTTATTTATTCTACGAATTAAAATCCAAATCAATAATTTATAGTTGTTGTTGTGTGGTTTTTTCTCTCGCTTCGTGAAAACTCGTTCCATCTTGATCATGTATTAATGCTTATAGGTGAAAAAATAGATACTAAACGCAGCAACAACAATAACAAATCCGTTAGCAGAATTAATCTCCGCGAATGACTCATTTTGGTTGTATTTCGCAATCAATATGTGCATTCGTTGGTGTATTGTGTCATTTGTTATTTATTTCTACTCTCGCTGATGATTCGAATAAGGAATCAGCGCGATTTTTTTTTATGAATGATTCATGCCATTTGACCGTCTTATGTGCGAATTGTTGTTTCAATACTTTTGTTTTTTTTTCTCTCCAAACTCTTTTCAGGCTGATTTCGATGAACAGATCAAGAATGCTGGTGACAAATTGGTCGTTGTTGACTTCTTTGCCACTTGGTGCGGCCCATGCAAAGTGATTGCCCCAGTTTTGGAGAAATTGGCCCAACAATATGCTTCAAATCTCGTCGTTGTTAAGGTAATTTGCAGTTATTAGACTCATTTTCTCATCTATTCCAATTCATTTATTGTTATTGTTGTTATGCTAAATTGTCGCTCATTTTTATTTCATTCACAGGTCGATGTTGACGAATGCGAGGATTTGGCCATGCGATTCGATATCTCCAGCATGCCAACATTCGTGTTCTTGAAGAAGGGCGAGAAAGTCGAAGTTTTCTCCGGAGCGAACCCAGACAAACTCGAGAAGACCATCGTTCAATACCTTAACTAAGCGCCCAAATGAATATTTTCCATTAACTCCCCCTATCTTATTCTTCTTCTTCTTTTTTTTAAATTGTTTTTAATACACAAAGTAGTTCTAATGGTTTGATTTTACATTTACTAGCAAGCACATTGTAATTTAATTCCAAACATCGAATTTTATTTTGCCATCGTTGTACTGAACTTCAAGCTAATGAACAATAATCTGTATGGTCACCACCCAGAACCATTATATAGTTTTTTTCCTTTCGAGTAAGCAAACCGCCTGGAGTTTCGTGTAAATGCTTTATGTAACAATAAAAAATGAGAGAGAAAAAAACAATTATTTGAAAATATACGATGAAAATATTCATATGGAACATGGTGTGTATTTCTTTGGTTTTATTTCAATTTCTGACAGATGAATGACTTTTAACCGCTATAAAACTGTCACTTCTCGATTAATGAGTCAATTTCTGGGGTGACGGAAAAATCAATAGTAGCAAAAGCGCAACGGCATTTTACGATAATTAGAATTTCAACGTTTGCTCAGTGTGTGTGTGTGTGTGTGTGCGTGTATTCGGTGTGGTGTGTGCAGGTGTGCACGCCACAAATTCAAATCAGTAGGTTGCAATTCATTTTAACTGCCACCAAGCCGCGATAAACAATTCATGGGCATGCGATTGCCTGTATTTGCTGTAAATGTTATACCATTATCTCTGTGTATCGATTGGTCGGCCGGGAAAAGATGTAACAGCCGCTAGAATTGCTTGCACGCGATCGCATCGTGAACCAAATGGTTGTTTTTCTGTAGTTGTCATTTTCTGAATAAAGTTGATATAATCACATCCAGCGTTCATTCTTATCACACAATACACAGAAATATTGTAAGCGACACCATCAATCCAAAACCGATAGCTTTTTTTTCGATGGGAACGCGTCGTTGCCCATTTCCTTTCATTGTTGTGGTCATCGCAACGAATCGTGTTATCAGCAATTGAGAAATGGCCGTCCAGCTAATTTTGTAGGAAACAAACCACCGAATAATGCTGACTAAATCATTATTTCTAATTAAAATGTTGTTTTTCAAAGCAAAGCAAAGCAAAGGGAGGGCACACCAAATGCCTGTGCAATCGATAACGAAGTTCGATTAAAATACATTTAGCAACAACGTTCAAATAAATGAAGTTTCACCTGTATGCCAACTCAAAAACAAATAGAAATGATTCATTTGAATGTTTGATAACATTATTTGTTTGATATGATTTTTTTTTGCTCGGTGCGACGCACCATGCGCCATCTATTGGAAGTGATTCAAGTGAAAAGTGGCATTTTGAATGAGTTCGATGATCTAAAACACTTCAACGACACACCCGTGTGAACAATTCACAATATGGATTTAGCATTCGGGTATTGAAATCAAAACCTTGACCATCAGACAAATAGTTCGTTCGATTTGTTTGTTGTTTGCACCAAATTTCATTGTTGAATGGCAAGTTTTGAATGCATAATTTCGAAGCAATAGCACAAAAACAGTGCAGAATCAAGAAGCAAAAGCCTTTAACAAAATCTGGGTCACTGAACGAAGTCAAACGTTTGCGATGGCTCATCAACGAGAAATTGATGTACGTGCTTCGATAACACGAGACTCGATTATAAATTTTCATGATATTGTCCGATTGATGTGCTTTTTTCAAGTAAACGTGCCCGAGCTCAAGATGTCATACATTATATAATGTTTGAATCGTACGTTTGTTGCGATTTGGCTGTGATTTGTATGCGCATCAGCCATTGTTTGAAATGACAATGATCGTTCCACTTCCACGGACCGAACCGAGCGATGAACGAAAAAACAAACAAAAGTGACACTGTTACAGTGTTATTGAAATGAAAATCAGACACCAGAATCGAATCGAAATTATTTTTAATAATTCAGTATTTGGTTAGAAGTTTGTGACAAAAGACTCGCTGAAGTATTAAATGAACATTGTGAATATTTTCGGCGCTGAAAATCATGATTCGATTTGTTCTGGTCTGTTGGTTGATTGCATTTTGTGTAAGTTGTTTTTTTGAGTTGTGAATGGAACGAAATTGTTGTTTTTACACACCATCATTCTCAAATGTGTTCAATCATTTAAAAAATCAATCATTTTGATTTAATTTGTAGTGGGTTCAAAGTGCCGATTCAACGGAATATTTAAAGAATTTGTTGACAACCACGCCATCGTCTAGCCATATCAGCGATTTTCGTAAACAAAAACGAACCGATTCACGGGCCGACAAACCCGATACATTTCCTGGCTTCGATTTGCATGAAGATTCAACAACCCCATCGCCACGTAAACGCCGTCGGCAGGCTTATTCGCAATTGATTCGATTATTTTTGCAAAATACCAGAGACCGTTTGGACACCATTCGCGATGTCATCAAGGATGAAAGTGAATTGCATTTTCGAGTGACACGGCCACCTGGCGAAGTGGTGACCGAGTCGAGCGATTCAATGGAACAAAATGCCGAAATTCGATTTTCCGACGATGACAATCGCCAATTCATCGACTTTGCATTTGCCGACGCAACGAACGCCGACGAATCGTCGAAAAATATTGACAAAATTGAAAATAAGGACAGAGACAATGCGGCGCATACATATTTAAATTCACTTTTCGCAGCATTTGGATACCATCGAATAACAACAACGCCAAATCCAATTGAAAGTGACGATGAAACAACATCAGGTAACATCATCGCACGATACTTAATAAATCCTCTGGTAAGCGCTTGGAATTCGACACGTGAACGATTCAATTGGAACGATGCAAGGCATGGTGACAATGACGACAACAGCAACGACGACGACAACGACGACGAAAGCAGTAGCGATGCAAGTGATGGCCAAACTATGTTATTCCGCGTTAATTTCTTTGACAATCTTGATAATATCACACCGAATATGCATACAAATTCCACAAGCGTTGCGAACAAAGACCCAAATGAAAACCGTGTCGATAATTTCAATTATTCACTGCCACTTATCCAACTTACGCCAAACAATGTCACAGACGATATGCTAACAAACGAGACAATGACAACATTGCAAGTAAATGCAAATACAGCGAACGTAAGCCAAACCATAGTGGATGTTGATTACATTGGCGAAGATCACATTGGCAGTGACAAGAAACCACGCAACACCGTCAACACAGTCAGTCGAACGGCACATAGTGTTGAAGATGCAGCCGATGCTTTTCGAAATGCATTTTTGAAATATTCAAATTATATGCAGCAGCAGCAGCAGCAGAACTCAACGGAACATGCAAAGTTTGACACTTCAACGAATGAAAATGCAAAATTCACACGCAACAAGGATTCGCATGCAATGAAGAATGACAAACTTATATTGGATGGTGACGGCAGCGGTGGTGGTGGTGGATTTTTCGCCGGCAATTTATTCGAGTCAAACTCAAGTCACATTCAAGTGGTGCCAAGTAAAACGCTTAAAACAAATGCATCATCAATAAGTGAAAATGTTACCACTGGAAATGATGTCGATGACATCGGCATTGAACCAGCTAAAAGCTTTTCAGAGAAGGCGGGCGTATTGATTTTGGAAATATTTGGCACAGTGATTGGTATGACATGGCGCGCAGTCAGTGGAATACCGAATTACTTGAATGCTCAGCATAATAACAATCAAAATGAGGATGCATAAATTGTCATACACGCGACATCCACCATACAAGCGTGTTTTGTACACGCAGCGCCCGTGTACTTCGTAGTGGAAAAAAAGTGAAGCTTGCTGGTCACCAATATTGATGTTCACGGACATCAAAATGTGGGTAACGGCCATTCTTCGAGAATTTCGTGCATTTGTGCAATGGGATTTTATTTAAAATAAAATCTCAACTGTGATTTTTAGGTATAAATTGAGAAAAGAAATGTTCGAAAATCAGCTTTGAATGTAGTGTGATTCGTTATAGGCGACAAACAATAGGATCCAGGATTAAATGCAACTGGTTGTTTCTTAATTTATTTAGACATTAATGTTTGTGCTATCGTTTGTGTTGTTTATCATCAAAGCACGCACAATTGCCATCTCAAGAAAAAAATAAAAAAATATTTTGTGATCAAAATAGAATTATTTAATCAATACAAAACATCGTATTCAGTTGGACTTTCGATAAAAAAAAAGATGCGTTCCAAATCATCGATGAATCGCTAGTGATCCAGGATCGAACAACCATCAACGAAAAAATCATCTTGCTTTGTGAAAAAAAGTTGTGTTTTCTCGATGTGTTTATGAATTCATATGTGAAATTTGCTAGAAATTGAAGAACTTTATATTTTCAGTGCGTAAAGTGGGCGAAATAACGCTTAAACGATTTGATGTTCGTGAACATCAATATTGATGACAAGCAAGCTTCACTTTTTCTCCACTACGAAGTACACGGGCGCTGCGTGCAAGTTTCTGGATGTCACGTGTATGTAAATTGTTGAACGAATGAAAAAGTCATCGATTTCAACCAATGGAATACTTGAAAATGGTTTGTGTATGATACCAATTAAATGTATTCCACTGACGAAAGCCGAGTTCATAATGGAATTTTGATTGTCTAATCGTGTAAATAATGATACCAAAATTAGCATGACACAGGCATAAATATTGACACAGTCATTAAACTCATAAATTATTGATAAGCGGATATAGTTTTTAAGGCTGAAAATAAAAGCAAAGACATTATTCTTTTGTTTTCCTAAATCTAATTTTATTAATTATTTAAATTCGTTGTTGAATTACCAGAGCTGTTTACCTATCTCACAACACACGAAACGGACACACGAGCATTGGATTGATTCAAATTCTTTGAGAACTATGGATTGTTCAAATTGAAATTGGGGGAGAAGGGTATTTAGTTACAAAATTTCCTTAAATCTATAAAATCGATTTACTCTCTTCTCTTTTGTTTTACTCTATTTGACTGTTAATCGATAAAACTATGGCTCGAATTTCAGTGGAGGTAAAATGTGTAGTGCCATCGCGGTCACACTGTTTGGATTGGAAAGATCTGAAAACGGAAGCATAATAATCGGTTTTAAATAAAATCGTGTTAAAAATTCAGTTGAAATATTACGGTCTTACCGTCCAAAATTTCATTTAATTTTGTATTGAAATCTGGCGCTATGACTTGGTTTTGGTCTCGCATCGCACTCATAATTGTGTACAATTGCCGTTCCGAAGAATATTTTGATGTTTCATGCAGCTTTTGCAACATGGTTTCACTGTAGCCCTGTGTGTGTTTTTCCCCAACGAAAGAAATTAACAAGTTAAGTATATCAAAATAATCAAAGCAAAGTCAATCGAGTGTGAAACATACCGCAAATTCTTGTAAATTCAATCGTTTGGCCTCACGCTTGCACAAATCGTAGAAGATCAAAAACAGAACATAGGGCCGGGTCGGTGGCACTCGCTTTTTACCCGTAATCGGTGAGAAGACACGAACACGTGCAAAGAAATCATCATAAACACGCCGAAATTCGTTGACAACCTCTTGATCGTTTCCTTTTGGCCGTTCGTACGCTTCATTTTCGATGTCTTGCAATAATTCAGCTGGATATTGATGCAAATACTCATATTCCGGTTTTCGTACGAATGATTTTGAAATTGGCTGCACGAAGTGTGAGAAGAACGGGAAATTCGATATGCTCAAAAATGACAAATCGCCAGTTTGCGGCTGAAGTGGTTTCCACGAAGCCGGTTTTTTATTTCCGTTGCTAATTGGACGATTACTGACTGGATGTGCGAATTCATTCACTCGATCGGGTGCAAAGTAGCCTGGCTTGTGGAATGATGTCGTTTCTGCATGCCACCAAGATGGTGTTGTTGTTGATGGGCGAGGAGTTGTCGTTGTCACCGTTGATGAATCATCAAATGGAATTGGTGATTGCCTGGAATAAAACCGAATTTTTTTACGTGTAACATAATGAACGAGAAGTATTGCAACCAACACATTGAATTGTATTTTTTTCAACTTCGGAAGAATATTTTTCCTAGGGGGAAAGAACTGAGTAAATGAAAATATAAATATTGTAAATAATCGCATATTCTACACACAAAACAAACTTTTCCAAATTTAAGATTTTTTTTCTTGGATGTAGAATAAGAAAAAAATAGTCTTAATTCTGAAGTCTACCATATAAAATATAAGAAATTAAGGAAAGTTTTTTCCAAATTTAAGAAAAAAAAATTCTTAAATTTGGAATAAGAAATTTTTTTTCTTAAATTTGGAAAAAACTTCTCTTAATTTCTTATATTTTATATGGTAGACTTCAGAATTAAGACTATTTTGTTCTTATTCCGTATCCAAGAAAAAAAATTTCTTAAATTTGGAAAAGTTTGTTTTGTGTGTACCGAGTTTGGATCAATGCGTGTCAATGCGTGTCAATGCGCTGAATAACTAGCTGCGAATGCATGCAAATATGGTCAATAAAATGTGCGTATTTGCAACTGTCATTCGTGCTCGCCACGAACGAGACGAAGCAACAGAAGAAAACAACAACATTAACACTACGGAACGCAGTGCAAATGCCTGTGAATATTTGTCAATACGTGTCAATAAAGTAAATATACCAATAGTTCTTTCCCCCTAGTATTTTTCAAAATGCGACAAAATGACTTATTTGAATCAATGCTGATTTTTTAAAATAAAATTTTTCAAAATGAAGCATACCATGGTTTTCTAGTGGTGGTCGATTGCCAAGATGAGAAGGTCCATAAGTACGAAGATTTTTTGGTTGTTGTTGTTGTACTTTGTGCATTCCACCACGATGTAGTCGTGGGTTTTTGAGTTGTAGTTGAAAACCAGGATGAAGTTGGCGGTGATTGTGTAAAACTCCAAGAATATGCTGGTTTTTGGGTTGTTGGATGGTTCCACCATGAAGTAGTGGTTGGCTTTTGAGTCGTTGTAGTGGTTTGAGTGTTCCACCAAGAGGTCGTTGTCGGCTTCTGAGTTGTTGTTGTAGGAAAAGTCCACAAGTACGATGGTTTTTGTGTAGTTGGGCTTGGAGGATTCCACCATGAGCTAGTGGTTGGCTTTTGAGTCGTTGTACTGGTTTGAGCGTCCCACCAAGAGGTCGTTGTCGGTTTCTGAGTAGTTGTAGTAATTGGATAAATCCATGAATACGATGGTTTTTGGGTTATTGAGCTTTGAGGACGATTCCACCACGAAGTGGTCGTTGGCTTTTGAGTAGTTGTGGACCACCATGAAGTGGTGGTTGGTTTCGTTGTCATTGTCGTTGTGCTGGGTGGGCTCCACCACGTTGTATTGGGTGGGGTCCACCATGTAACCGGTTGTTGGACTGGCGGATGCGGTGAGCTTGAAGTTGGCAAGTTCGGGAATGTTGGCGGTGTTGTTGACGGTCCCGAGAATGGTGGTTCAATTGTTGTCGAAAATACCGGTTCATACTGCAGAAGTTCAATGTGATAAGCGATGGTCTGCATGACAGCCGGCAGATAGCTTTCAGTCAAACGCGTCAACTGTCTTGTCGCGACGCTCGTTTGATTCGTTGCCAATTGCAGCGTTGCATCGCTAGCGGCTGCATTTTGCCTTAGATTCCTCTGTGGCGAAGATGATATCTGTATAATTAAAGAGCAAAGAGGGCATTTCATTACAATGGTACGTGAACAGCTTGGATACAGATTAAAAACAAATGATCACAAGTTATCTCTCCACTGTGTATAACATAACTGCGAATCGAGAAAAATGCGAGTGGCTCGAAGCAGCATAAATGCTATGCATCATGGCGCCACTATTCAAATGAACAAATATTTTCACTGCCAAAAGATAAATACCAGCATTTCTATGCAAATCGTTAGCTTAATGTATTATACCGATTAATTAAATTGTCGCTATTGCCTGCTACCGAACGTGCCCGGTTTTAAGTGCAAAATACACCAGACCAAGTAAGCAAATGAAAGAAAGAACGAGCCAGAGTAGTGCACATATCGGGTTTTATCGAAATGCAAACACAAACTACACAAAATAATAACAATCGTATAATAGATTATTTGCTTAATGGATATCATTTGCTTAATGACACTATCAATATAAATTACTCTACCAAACCAAACACGAGAGCTGGTCTCTTTGGATTCTGTCTGCTCAAAATGAACTGTGTTATGAGCAGTGTGATTGTGTGCAAAATGCAGAAAGTAAATGAAACGAAAACGAAGTGAAAGAGAGCCAAAGAGAAAGAAAAGCAACGGTGCTGATAATGATGCAGAGCAGCATTTCCAAGTGCATGGGAATATTTGAAATCGTGCTTGCACACTTGCTTGTGTGAATTGGGGGATAAAAAGCCATTCGATTAAATTCTTCGGATAACATTTACAGTTTAAGCCAAATATCCATATTTGATAGTTCTCTCTCTTTTTCACGTTCTCTCTATCTTTCTATCTTTCTCTCCCTCTTCCTTTCTTTCTTTCCGTCTCTTTCCATCACTATTGTATCGGCATCTAGCTAGAATGTTCAATTCATATCCAATGGATGGATTACTTCGTATCGATTTCCATGAATTTTAAATTGCCAAAATCCAACTGACTTCTGTTCTTGGCAAATGATGCCAAAAATTCGTTAATTCCAATAGAAAAACTAATGATCGCGATTCATTTACCCATTTTCACATAAATTATATGTTTTCATGGAAATCGTTATTCATTAAAAGTCAAAGATTGAAGCGATACTTGATTTATACAAACAATCGTTAAATGTTCAAGCTTCATGAAATGAATTCGATTCGAATTACGAATGGAAAGTGTTGCATGCAGATTGAATATTGATTTATTGAATCAGATTTAATGATAGTCAGCACTATGCACTGAACAAATTTGCATTAATGAAGAGTCGTGTTTTTCCTGCTCGTAAAAAAATGGACCAATCATGTTTTGATCAGGTTTGTGGCTTGTCCTCGTTCGAATCGATTATGTTCAATTACTAAACGCATCTGTTTGATCGAGATAACAATTATTTTCATCACATTCAATCATACTCTTACCAATAACACATGAATGGTAAGTGAAACTGCCATATGTAAAATACTAAAAGCAGCAAAAAAAACCTTTTTATTAAATTGTCGTCGTTTTTTAATATCAATTTTATCTGCATCACTTGCTTTATCAGTCAACAAATGTGAGATTGGAATTTCTTTTGAAATGGTTTTCTTTCCTTCGGCTTCGACCACATCAGTGACACTGGGATAGAAGGTAAAAAAGTAAGCGTTTGACAGGCGAAAGCAAAATGAAAATGGTTAGAATGAAACTCTGAGAAAATCGCCAAGTGTTCACACAAGCACAGAAAAAAAACGTTTCTTTTTGTCGTACGATAAAGCTCGTTGACGTTGATATGTGGAAACCTGATTTCAAACACATCAAAGGAGATTTTAAACGAAGGAAGAGCGATGAGCAAAAAAGAAAAAAAAGAAAAAAAACGGCGAGCACAAAATGCACGGCGCGATAAAGTGAATGCGGAAAGTTGTCGAAACGACCGATAACTTAAATTGACGACTGAGAGTGCACGTGTGTAGAGTTCGAGTAAAAGTCTGAAATAATCATTTCGATATGATGTTGACGTATCGCTCTCTTTTTCCCTCGATCTCTGCTTTGCGCTCTGTATCTCTGGGCAAAGGAACAATATCCGCACGAAATTGAAGTAAAAGCTGCTCTTTCAGAAACAAAGAAAAAGAGGAGAAGAAATTGAAAGAGAGAAAACATATCGTTTGCAATGTTTGATAGAATGATAGAGACAGCATCCTGAGCAGAGAAGGTTCGCACGCAGTTTGCGAACGAAGATAATAAGGCAAAAATGTGTTGCCACTTTTTTTAGTTGGCACTTGTGCCTGAGATTGTGTTTAAAATATCTAGACCAGCAGAAAAACTGATGAGGAAATGGAAAAAATGAAGAGAAAATGATGAGAAAATGAATAAAACATGAAGAACAAACAAATGAACACGATGATGAAAACCTACGGCGAAAGTCGATCAACGTTAAGATTTTTTCCCGCCCACGGATTGGTGAATCTGTTTGTTGTGTGCATTTGTATATTCGTTTCCAATGCAAACGCCAAAGGCACAAAACATAAACTCAATCAACTTTTTCGTACTATTCGATATCTGGGGCCAGATGAATTTTTTCACAACATTTCTCAGTGCAGATGGTTTTTGAAGCAAAAATCCCCTTTTTCTCATTTGATAATATTGATGTTTTATAAAACTTTCTATCAGTTTTACTTTTGACGAAGTAAAATCGACGAGAAATGAACAAAATAATGAGAACGTGTTCGATTTATCGAAAACATTCTGTTCGAACATTGATTGAATGCTCTGTTTTTTGTTGCTGTTGTTCGAATGCAATCAGTTTGTTTCACCAATGCGTGAAGAAAATTGATTGGACAATGTAAATATTTGTGTGAAACGCAACAAAACGAAAAAAAGGAAATATTTTTTGAGTGTCGATGCGAATGAAGTAAAATTAATTTAGTGAAAAATTGCCCGTGTGCACTTCGACGATGAATTGCGTATGCATACGTTCTCCCAATGCCTGTACTGTGTTTAGTGGTAACTGCCACAGCAGCAGCAACGGCAACAAACATATATTTATTAACGAAACATGACAGGCAGTTGTCACCTGCGATTGATTGATGGATTGAACTGCATGTGCTTTATTTTTATTACGAGCCGCATGGGCATGCTATGCCATACGATCGAAAATCAGTGGAACGCACGTGGAAAGTTTCATCGTTCAGTAACCAATTTATTTATTATTTTCCAGAATGAAAAAAAAAGTAAACTCAAGTGTCTGTCGGTCGCTCAACACAAGATAAACTGTGTGCGTGAGCGCGCACTGAGAGCTGACAGAATTCAAAAATTAAAACGCCATACATATTATATGCATACAATACAATGTGCAAAATTCCATGTAAATATTATTCGAAATAATGAAAAAAATGTTTCTCGTTTTCCATCTCTCGCAAAGTTGTACCAGTTTTCCCATTCATTCATCTCGGATTTCATTTTATTTTTCAATTTTCGCCTGCGATTGAAATACCTTTCGATGAACATTGTTCACACACACATATATTGTAACTATATTGTAACAGCCACTGACCATAACTTCAATTTAAATTGCGATGCAGCGAGAGCGAAAAAAAACAACGACGCACAACGAAATTGTCATAATTATTTACACGGTGATCAGTATGCTGTGTTCGAATTCTATGAATTTGTGACTACAATTTGGTGCGTACTGTGGGATTTCCCAACTCACATTCATTACTGTGAAATTATTATTAAACCGTTTTGATTTGAGCCCACCAAATTGAGAATCGATGAAAAACCGCTCACGTGATTGACGAGCTCTTGAATGCGCGCACACTCGAGTTAATCACTTTTCGCACATTTTACAAAAAGCCGTGGAAGCAATGAGAAACAAGACCGCAGAGCTTCGCTTCGCTCCGCTTTGCGTTCTTGAGTTTTTAGTTACTTAATCTATTTTGTTGTTTCACAACAAACTATTTTTTGGCGTACTACATGAAATGTATTTCATCAAAGTAACTTTGAAGAAATATATTCATTTGCAAAATGAATAACAAGATCTTGGTTTAATTTCTTTTTAGAAATATACTGCCTTTGGTTTAAATTAAATAAATAATATGAGCATAGAATCCAAAATCACTTTAATTCTGTTCAGAAAATATAATACGAAAAATTAATGTAATTTTTAAACAACATTTGATAATAAAAATTTGATTGGAGCTTTGAGATATTATGCACCTATTTGTCGTTACTGCCACTGTTTTAAATTAAATAAAAAAATATGAGCATAAAATTCAAATTCACCATAATTTGTTTCAACACTCAAAAAGTATCTAGGAAAAAAAAGAACAGATTAGTAGCTCTACATTTCATGTAGTGCTAAAGAGAGGCAGACATTTACTGATGAAAAGTCATTGGTCGATTGGGTCGTTTATTTGGAAATAAAGTGCCCAATTACTGTGTGTGGCGAGTGGCTTTTATGCGAATTGAATGTCTACAAAATGCATAGCACAAGTGATTCATATACATATGAGTGTGGCAGGCGCGTTCATTCGTATTACACTCGATGTAACGTTCAATGTACAAAGAATGGAATTGAAGTGCATATGGTGCAATTTTAAGAACGTTTTGCGGTCCGGCATTTGATCACATTCGCAAAAAAACGGGAATGGATACGGCCACTCATTACACAATAAGTTCATTTTATTTTTTTCCACAGTTCAGCGTGTGTATGTTAGACTATTTCGACACTTTTGCTCGTTACTGACATTTAAAGGCTATTTATACCTCAAGTGTACCATTTGCTAGCAAGACTTTTTTCTTCGTCTTGCTATAAATTCGTCCAAAGACGGTAAATTGGATTGAACTCGAAATAAGATGACAAGATTTGATTGAATAATGAACGGAAGGAGAGCGGAGCAGAGCGGACGAAAGAGAGAGAGAGGGAGAGGGATCTCACATTGCATCCATTAAAATCAATCAGATTTTGTTCGTAAATTGGCTTTGCTGTCACATTCAAATCTCTGACACTTGCTCACATTCGCCGC